TGTTAATCTGCCAAACAGTAGCCACTTTTGCAGTAGTGCTTTTAAAAATGTTTATTAACTATCACATAGAAATCAACTAATACAGAGGCGCAGAACTAGATAAACCTGCGATTTTATTTTTAAAGACAATTTGCATGTTGGACATGGACTGCTTTGTAGATAGATATTTATTTATTTATTGTAAAAAAGCAAGAATAGTGTGTTGAATGTTCAGAGCTAATGTGTGTTTGGTAAAAGTTTTTAATTAAATAAATTGAGCATTATAATTCTGGTTATAAGATTCTCTTGTGTTCAATATTTTATTAAAATATCAAGAATTATTCTATTAGAAATTATTAAATACCCTGATCTGTAAAAAAGTAAAAATGAAAGTTTAGTTTTTAAAAAAATAACAGTTTTCTCCTTTCCTCCCTTTTCCTACTTCTAAACCACTATTATATGAAATACCTTCTAACTTGGTAGATGTTTTGTGTGAAACCAGTATCATAATATCTATGTATGGATAAAAATACATTTAATAACAACACAGAGTTAATAAGACCTTTGTATTATATAAATATGTAATATTACATCTTTAAATCCAAATGATATTTGCTTTTACCATGGTCCTTGGACCCATAAATGATATAAACATACATAGTAAATCACAGTGTTGTCAGCTTCTATCATTAACATTCTGTCTTTAGAAGTTAGAAATTTCTACTCTCTCTCCTAAAATGAGAGATTAATACATGTTATATATTAATATCAAGGATTTTGTCTCAATCTCTAGGAGAATTATTACATGTTATATATTAGTATCAAGTATTTTGTCTCTGTATCTATATTTTGTCTCTATATCTTAGAAAAGAGGGTATCTATAAATTCTGATTTTAAGAGGTAAAAGCACCTTAATAATAGAAACAAAATGACACCATAATGGCAACATGAGTTTGCCACTGATTGAGCTTGGCATTGAATAATTCCCCATTGTTAGGCAATATTATTAAAAAGCAATATAGCAGGCTAGGACATAGGTATGGAAGGGAATTCTAACAATTTTAAAATCAAAATGATCCTTTCATATTAGTTTTACATTTGGGAACCCATAACTCTTAGTGCTGGTTCTGTGAACAAGTAAATATAATTTTCATAATGATGGACAGAGAGACATGAATACTTACTGCTGAAAGGTTATTCTGCATTTTAATGAATGTAGAATTAAAATCTGATAGCTGAGTACATAAACAGTGTACTGTTGTGGAAAGAACATGACTTTAGGGACAGCCAGATCTGTGTTCAAATTCCAGAGCTGCAACTCACTAGCTATATCTGACTTTGCGTTCATTCCCTAACCTCTATTCTCAGGTATAAATCTGGTGTAAAATCACCACCCTTTGTCATGTACAACAAATAAGATTTGTATGAAATCTTTAATATTGTTCCTGACATGTACTATGTGCTTAATAAATGGAAACTATTATAATTTATTGTTTAATATGTTGGGTTTTCTTTCCCTGATGTGATGCTTCTTTTACTGGGTACTACGCCTGGCTGTAGGCCATACTTATTTTCCTTTTTAAAGTAAAATTTTATATTTCTATTAACTATGTCACTCTTCTGATCTTTATATTTCCCAAATCTACATTAAAAAAACACTAATGTGTCTTCTTTTTGTGGCATGAAAATTGCATTCAACTTTAAAAGTATATCTAATTTAGGCCAGATAATATGAAATTCTGAAATATTGTAAATTTGTGATGAATACACTTTTAAAAATTCATATGCACAGAACATATCTTCAAAATTAAGTACTATTTTGTCTTTATTATATTTTTAAAGAATGTGGGCAATTTCTTAATAGTCAAATGGAAATATATTTCAGGGAAGGCTAAATTTAATATAATATTTTCTATGCTGTGATGGTTGTTTGTTTATTATTGTTGTTAGTTTGTTTTTGGCTGACAGCAATTGGTAGAAACTTATGCTGCCATGAACAACTTAGAAATAAGTCATTCACACAATTTATGAAGCACCAAATGGGCACTACAGAAGTTTTCTGCCTGTTGTGTTCACATTACCAAAAATTCTCAGTAAGAAATTGATAATAAAGTGAAAATATATTGTTTACATCTATGGGGCAGAAAGAAAATCCTCACTGTGTTTCTGGGTAGGAGTGTTTTATGAAATACAAGGTAGAGCCTCCACAAAGGCAGGCATGAATGTGTTGGGGATGAAAAGCATTAGAAATAATAAATAGCAGACCATAGTTCCGCTGGGCCAGGCACTACGATAAACTTAACTTTATCTCTTTTAATACCACACAATGAGTGGGTACTCTTATTCCCATTTTACAGATGAGGAAATTGAGACTTTCACATAGCTTGTGAATGGAGGTGGGTTTAACATCAGAATAGTGCAACATGAAAGCCTGAGCTCTGCCTTCTTACCCCAGGGCTCAGGAGTATGATGTCTGTGCTGTAACTGCTTTAAACACTAAGCATCGTCTATGTGTGAGGCATTTGGGATGAAATGGGGACCAAAGCCAGCAGTGGTCCCTGTCCTCATTGAGTTTAGTGGGAGGAAGACAGAGTTATTAACCAAATGACTGCATAAATACATGTATTAATATAAATTACAAATGGTGATACATGCTTGGATGAAGAGGTATGTAGGACTGTGAGAAAAGATGCATAAGAAACCCAACCCAGTCAATTCAGGATGGCATCCCTGAGGAAGGGGTATGTAGGCTGGGATTGAAGAGATAAGAAGGGTGAACTAAGCAAACATTAAGAGAGGAACTTCCTAGGCCTGGGGAAAGCATGTTAAGAACTCATGGCATGAGGGCGATGATGTGTATTAAAAGGAGGCCAGTGGCCGGGAGAGGTGGTTCACGCCTGTATTCCCACCACTTTGGGAGGCCAAGGCAGGTGGATCACCTGAAGTCAGGAGTTTTAGACCAGCCTGGCCAACATGGTGAAACCCTATCTCTACTATCTATACAAAAATTAGCCGGGTGTGGTGGTGGCCGCCTATAATCCCCCTAATTTGAATCTGGGAGACGGAGGTTGCAGTGAGTCAAGTGCCACCTCACCTCACTCCAGCCTGGGTGACAAGAGTAAAACTCTGTCTCAAAAAAAAAAAAAAAAAAAAAAAAGGCCAGTTTGAATGGTATGGTGGGTGGATTATATACAACAAGTGATAGCCTTTTACAAAGAATAGGGCAATCAGTGAGAAATGAAAAGGAATGTTACTCATAAGATAAACATAATATGAAACACATAAGAATACAGTTTTTTAAATATCAGGACCCAAGTGAAAGAAATTATGAAATTGTATTTAAAGATAGGAAATTATATCTGAACAAGTAGAAAGTCATGCCATGTTCTTACATGGGAAAATTAATATCATCAGAAATAACATGTTTTGATATAAATGAATAAATGTTAATGTAATACAACTTTACTAGAATCCCAAGGTGGATGTTTCAGAAGTGGGAGATAATTTTAAAGTCTATATGAAAAATGAATGCTTATGAATATTATCAATGAATTTCTTAAAAATAAATGCTTAAGAATATCATCATGCCATTTCTGAAAAAATAATTTTAGTAAGGGAGAACTTGCTTTGCCAAATATTAAATACTAATAGTTAATATAAAGCAACGGTAATCTGAACAGCATGGTATAGCAACAGTGAAAGACAAAGAGATCAGTGAAAAATATATTTCAGAAATATATGTCAGAATGTAGTGTGTTTCGAAAGTATAAAAAGTTAGTGAGAACATCTTTATTCTTAAAACCTTAAGAGCCTGTTATTAACAGATGTGATGATTTTTGGTTTATAGACTGTATTATTAATTCTATATTATTTCATATGTACCTTTCTCTTTAATGTATTCCAAACATATTCATCATTAATTATATTAACTTAGAAATATTATTTTTGGAAAAAGTAAATTTTCAAGTATAACTTATTTTATAATTTTTTAATTATTTTTCAAAATTTTCATGGGTACATAGTAGGTGTACATGTTTATGGGGTACATGAGATGTTTTGATACCTCAGGCATGCAATGTAAAATAAGCACACTGTGGAGAATGGGGTATCCATCCCTCAAGTTTTTATCCTTTGAGTTACAAATAATCCAATTATATTATTTAAGTTATTTAAAAATACACAATTTAGCTATTATTGACTATCATCATCATATTGTACTATCCAATAGTAGATCTTATTCATTCTATTTTTTTGGTACCCACTAACCATGTTACCATGACAGTGATACTATTAAATTTTTAGTAGCTGAAAATGAATTGTGAATATTAATTTATCAAATCCACCTTTGGATAAATCAAACATAAGATACCAGGATAGATTTTTAAAGGTTTAAAAGGTTGATAGATACTAATCCAGGAACAAATTAAATGCATATAAAGAGACAATATTTATATGTTTCTCTCAATGTGACTTAAGATTTGTCAAATACTCTTAAAAAACCATAACCTCTGGTATAGATGAATGACTATGTGACATAAGTTGCCAAAATGTTAACCACATAAAAACAGGGTATTTAAGGAAATAATTTAAACAGATCAATTGTTCTCAAGGATATAATGATAACTTCATATACAATTGGATCAGATACTCAATTTCTAGAAGTATAAATTCAAATTCTTTAAAATCTTTTACATATGTATATTACTATCTTGATCATTATCCAACTATTTTATTAATTCCCCCAAAGGGAATGATATCAAATATGTCCTACTTGTGTGAGTGAAATTTCAAATTTGAAAATTGTAACTATTATAATTGTGGAATTTGTATGATTAATGACAAGAGTAAGATGATTCCTCAGAAAAAACATTTGAAACATAAACAAAGCTTAAACCTGGAGGTGGATAAATTAGAAGAGTTTATATAATGTAAATTGTTTCCTGAATTAATCACAATGGACACTGTGCTTTGATATTAAAGATTGTTTGATATTTATTTGAATGTCTCTATTTTTTATATAGGGAAGATGTGAGAACAGCAAACGTAATTGCTGCAGAAGCTGTAACCTGCCTTGTGATTGACAGAGAGTAAGTACATTGTTTTATTACGTGAGTTACACACTCATATCAGCAACACACATGAGTTCCTGGAATTAGACACCATTTTATGGAGCTATTAATACTTGCTTTATATCTTTTCATTTTTAAATGAGTGCTATATTTGACTCTTATTCCCTATTATTCTGAAAGGTGGCTGGCTCTGCCATTCTAGCTTTGTGATCTTTACCAAGGTACTTAACCACTGTGTACTTCAGCTCAGCTCATTTGTATACTGGGTTAATAAAATATCACAGGGATATTTTGAGGATTAATGAGAACATGTGAGTAAAACATTCGTCCAAGTGTCTTTTACTCAGGAGGTATTCAACCAATGCTAGTTACTTTTGTGAATTTTTAGAATTATTATTCTGTTCTTGTTAAGAAATAGATTCTTCTTTGAGTATGTTTTAGTTATCCCCTCTATTATCCCATCTCCAGACTTCCGTAATAGAAGTATTTAGGGAAGATACTTTTGGAGAAATAATCAGTTCTAGACATAGGCATATATTTAAGGCCATTAAAAATTTGTCTGATAATGTCTATCCCTGTTTCTTCTCTCAATTCTGACTTGCTCTTTTCATTACCTAGATGCTTTATAGGTTAAACTACACGTCAGATTATTGATTCTCCAAGAACATGGTTAAAATGCCTACATACTTTCTGGAAGTAGTCAAACAGACTTTTCTTTGTTGTACTGTATGTGGATAAATTTATCAGAATAGCCAAGCACCTGACCAAAAAAATCTGTAAAATATCCATTTTAGTGGAGCCATTATAACTGGAATAGGCAGTGAGGGTCCATGTAGAGTGAACCTGAGGGGTCATATATGATCAGCCTAGAATGATGGAGCTTGATGCCAAGCTCAGAGGACTCTGGATGGAGAAGAATTCTACTTGATTCACAAATCTGACTTTTAGAGGTCCTTCTATGCTAGATCACTAGAACCAGAGCAAAGATACAGTTGAAGAATGATAGTAATATCCATGGATATTTCTGAAATTGTTATATTTTATCTGGTTTCCCAAAACAATAATTACTGATTCACTGTTCCGCTCAACTCACATTTACTGAGGATCAACCATGTACAAAGCATTGTACTGGAAGAAGAGTCAAAGGAGCAGCACAGATGCTGGTTTTAGGAGTTAGCATCTAATAGGGATGTCTCATATATAAAAATAACCATCCTACGAGGCAAAAAAAAAGACTTCAGAATAAATTTTTAAGGGAATTCAGAAAAGAGTGAGTACTTTTGAGAAGAGTCAGGGAGATCTTCAAGTGAGAATTTGTAAAGGTAATTGGCAGAGGTGTTGCAAAAAGTTCCCAAGCATGCTGGCACTAGTTCACTGAAAAAATTGAATGTGGGATAAGGGCAGCTCTGAACATTTTATTGCAGCAAAAAGATATCACCCATAACAATGGATTTAATAGACTCATCTGAGAATTCTGTGTAAAAGGAATTAGAGGGAGAGGTTAGAGACAAAATATTTGGTTAGGAGTCTAAATTCAGTTGGTGATTATGAGATCATTCATAAGAGGAACCCATAAGAAATGAATAGGTAAAATCAAAGGGTTTTAAGTCTTACTGAATGTGAAGAGCAAGGGAGAAATTAGAAATGTCATTGGGATAGAAAAGACATAAAAGGAAAATAGAAAAATCAGTTTGGCAGGTATAATGACATTGCACCAAGAATATAATGCATTGAACATACAATATCGAACACTCAAGAATGGATGTCCTGCAGGAGACAGGAAATGTGGACAGAAACTTTTCTTAGAATTAACTTAAAATTAACTTTAGACTTGCCTGCATGTGGTTAGCAGCTGAAGCGATGAGACAGGACAGAATTGTGTGAAAGAATAGAGAAGACGATTACAGAGCCAAGGTTAGATTTGGGAAAGTCCTTTCGTTTAAGCATTAGTCAGGGAAAGTAAAACCAGTGAAGAATAATGAGATATTAGAAATCAGAGCAGTATAGGAGACCCCAGAAAGCAAGAGGGTATTTCATGAGAAAGGAGATGACCACAATGTTAAAAGCTGAGAGGCATGCAGATAGAAAAAAGGGCAATAGATTTAGTCACCTGGGAGATAACAGTTTTATTAAAGTGGTAAGGGTGGAATCCAGGTTACAAAGTATGAGTGGGTGAAAAGGAGGTGAGAGCACTGAGCCTACAGTATGCAAGTATCAAGAAAGATGTAGCGAATGAAATACTAAAGGGAATATTTGATAAATGGGGCCCCAGGGGAGGAAATTGTGGGCAAATGAGGAAAGGTTCTTGGAGAGCATATATATGTGTATTTTTGATTTTCTGAAAAGTGAAAAAGAGGCAACATAGAAAATTTGCAGAGAAATGCTGGGATGTAGATAAGGATAGTTGTGGGAACTTGGATGGACTTAATCTTGCCATTACTCTCCTTATCCAAACCTAGGCATATACAGTGTGCATTGACAAGTGAATGGATGTGGTCAAACAAAGCTCAATACTTGAATTTTGACTGCACCATTTTACAAGAATATGGATAAATTAGTTAAATTCTGGGCCGCAGTTTTCCTGTATGCAAAATTGGATAACATTATTGAAATTATAAAATTGATTTGAAAATAAAACAATATAACATATGTAAACATCCATGCACAGCACAAGACATGAAATAAGCACTAAATAAATATACCCTTCCCTCACACTATTACAAAGTGTGAGTGGGTACAAAGGTGTAGGATTTCCTTGGATTTAGCAGTGTTACTCTCTACTCAGTGTTAGTTTATTTTCAGGATTATATACAGAGAAGACACTTTGAGAGAGGTCTGCCTTATGCACAAATACAGAGAAATCAGCTTGGGTCTAAGAATTCAAAAAGTACATTTGTACAGTCTTAGCAGAGAATTTGGGCTTCCCACCAAATGTTCAATTCATAGCTTTAGTTTTTTTTTTTAATGTAACTGTAACTGAAGGATCCTGTCAAAAGCCTGCTGCTAACACCTAATTTATGGCCAGTTAGAAGAGCACCAGGGCTTCGTCCCATGCAAACAGATGGCAGACATTAGAACTGTCAACAAAAGGAGTTTCCTTCACAAATTTACAAGCAAGGTACCATGTTCCATAACCCAGTGATTATTCTTTATCATTCCAGAGGGAGAGCAAAAGAACATTATTGTAACTAATCATGCATGTCAGAATTTTTTTAAATGCTTATTGACAAACTAGAAGATGATAAACAGATACATGGTGTCCTTAAAAGGCATTCTCTGAATATTGGTTTCTTGTAGCCTACTCATTATCTTAACAAGTATCTGCGGTGATGTCAAAATTTGTTAATATAATATAAAAGAATATTAGTCTAACAGAACCATCCATTAATACATTTCCTAAATATATAAAAAACAATTAAGTACCTTTGGTACCTCTTAATTTGGAATCTGTGAAAAGAAATAAATATAAAACTAAGTATCCATTGGGGATTGGCTCAAGGACCCCCAGTGGATACTAAAATCCATAGATGCTGAAATTCCTCATATAAAATGGCATAATTATTTGCATATAACCTATGCATATGTCTCCTATACTTTAAAATATATCTAGGTTACTTATAATACCTAGTACAATGTAAATGCTATGTAAAAACTTGTTACACTATATTGTTTAGGAAATTACAAGAAAAAATTTCTGTGCATGTTCAGTAAAGATGTAACCATTGTCTTTTTTTGCTAAATATTTTTGATCTATAGTTGGTTGAATCCACAGATACAGAATGCATGAATGTGAAGGCTGACCATACACTTTTGTATTCTCTAATAAGTTATGCAGTATCTACTTATTCATTGTTATGGGAAGCTGTTTAGGCTAGAAGTTCTATTAAGATATTTGATTTGGATCATTTTGTTAATTGTTCAAAGGCCACAACTTATAATTACTAGTAAATCTTAAAGAGTTGTGTGTTTTTCCCCAGGAAATTGAGATCTAAATTATTAGAGTCCTAACTCTATCCCTGATTCACCATGTAGCCACTGAGATACATCTGTATTGATTTTGAAAACTGAAATATTTTCATGCTGGATGATAAATAGCACTGGTCTGAGATCCCTGCATGTCTCTCCCACTTCTCTGCTTCCCAGGTTGTCTGATTGCCCCCTACTCCTAGGACATTCTTCTTTAGTCCAGCAAGTAAGGAGGTGACATCTGGCAAACGCCAGGACCAGTGTCCATTTATTTTGGTCAGTTCCTGTCCACTAATTATTTTCCCTATCACCTCTGATCATGTCAGGATAAAATATAATGTCTTATTACCAATGATTTTCATGATTTTGTTTTACCAGGCCCATGTTTAAATAAAATCAATTAGAAAGAAAACAGAGGAATTTTTTTGGCTGTCATGGAGGTAAGACTCCTAAAGGATCCGGGGGTCTTCATTCTTTCCCTCAAAATCACTCCAGGTGATTCTTGAGGCCATCATGGGACCCTAGAAGACACTAAGAATGATTTATATACCACATATGGCTGATCAGGCCCCTACCATCAGTGACGCTCTGTGATATTTTTTCATACCATGGGGCCAGCTTTGTTATTGGGACAGTCTAGGAAGTGGAGACCAAGAACAAACCCAGAATAAATGCAATGTGATGGAGCACAAAAACGATGAAATTAGGAGGGAATATCAAGCATAAGATTGTAGGGCATTGCAAGTGGCAATCTCTGAAACTGAGATATGTCTAGATATCATGTTTCAAGATTTTGACCTCCCAGAACTATAGTCACCTGGCATATTCATGCCATATATTTAAAAATGTACCCAGACTCTTACCATAATTGGGGAGCAACTCATAATACCAAGGTTAGCCTTAAGGTCTGTAAATAATAGAGTAGCAAATAGATTACTGAGAAAGATTAGTCACAGAGAAAAACATCACTGAAGTTGGCAAACTAAAGGCTATTCCTTGGCACTCAGACTGGAACCTAAGTATTAAAACTGACTATGTTTTAATACATTTGG